TACTTCAGGAAGTAAGACTGGGCACAGACTTCATGAATATGATCCCATAAGCATGGGTAACCAAAGGAAAAAGTAAACAAATGGGATTATATGAAACTAAAAAGCTTCTGCACAGTAAAAGAAACAATTAACAGAGTTAAAAGACAGCCAACAGAGTGGGAGAAAATATTTGCAAATTATTCATCTGACAAAGGATTAATATCAAGAATATACAAGGAACTCAAACAACTTTACAACAAAAAAAAACAAGTAACCCAATTTTAAAAATGGGGAAAAGAGCTAAATAGGCATCTCTGAAAGGAAGATATACAAATGGCCAACAGACAAATGAAAAAATTCTCAACATCACTCAGCAGTTAGAAAATGCAAATCAAAACCACACTGAGATACCATCTCACCCCATTTAGGATGGCTAATATCCAAAAGAATGTGAATGATAAATGCTGGTGATGTTGCAGAGATAAACAAACTCTCATACGTTGTTTGTGGGACTGCAAAATGATGCACCCTCTATGGAAAATGGTTTGGAGGTTCCTCAAAGAATTGAAGATAGATCTACCATATGATCCAGCTATTCCACTGCTGGGTATATACCCAGAGGAATGGAAACCATCACGTTGAAGAGATACCTCCACTCCCATGTGTATTGCAGCATTATTTTCAATAGCCAAGAGTTAGAACCAGCTTAAGTTGGAATCAACCATCATTGGTTGAGCGGATTGAGAAAATGAGGTAGATCTACACAATGGAATACTACTCTGCTATAAAAGAGAATGAAATACTGCCATTTGCAACAACATGGATGGACCTAGAGAGAATTATAAAATGTGAAATGAATCAGGCACAGAAAGAGAAATATCACATGTTCTCACTTATTTGTGGGAGCTAAAAATAAATAAATAAATACACAAATAAACTGGGGGGGGGAGGAAAGAAGACACAACCAAGAAAATAGATATGAGGTTGTTGGGAGGGAGCAGAGAGAGGCAGGAAGGAGGGAGCTTTCATAATGGGCCACAATAATCAACCACGTTTTATATTGACAAAATAAAATAAAATTAATTAATTAATTAAATAAATAAATAAAAATTTAAATCATTTCAAGTATCTTTTCAGACCACAATGGATTAAAAGTAGAAATCAAAAACAGGCAAAACTCTTGAAACAATACAAACACATGGAAATTAATCAACATACTCCTGAACAACATATTGGTTCAAGAAGAAATAAAACAGAAAATCAAAAAAATTCTCAAAACCACTGAAAATAATGAAACATCATAACAAAATGTGAGGGATACTACAAAAGCAGTTGTAAGAAGGAAGTCTATTGCCTTAAATGCTTACATCAAAAGAAGAGAAATATTTCAAGTTAACAACCTAACACTACACCTCAAAGAATTGGAAAACAAAAACAATCCAATCCCAATTGTAATCGATGGGAAGAAATAATTATGATCAGAGCAAAACTAAATGAAATAGAAACCCCAATAAACAATATAAAATATCAATCAAGCCAAATGTTGGTTTTTCGAGAAGATAAATGAAATAGAGAAACCAGGAGACAGACTAACTAAAATAGAAGAGAGAAGATCCAAATAATAAAAATTAGTGATAAAAATGAAGACATAACAACCAATACCATACAAATACAAAGAATCATTAGATACTAGTATGAACAACAGTATAACAACATATTTTAAAACCTGGATGAAATGGATAAATTTCTGGACACACACAAACTACCCAGACTAAATGAAGAAGAAAGAGACACCTAAACAGACCAATAACAAGCAAAGAGATTGAAGCAGTAATCAGAAGTCTTCTAAAAAGGAAAAGCCCAGACCAGATAGTGTTACTGCTGAATTCTACAAAACCTTTAAGAAGGAATTAATACCAATTCTCTTCAAACAATTCCAAAATATTCAAACAGAAGCCATTCTCACAGACTCATTCTATGAGGCCATTATCACCTTGATACCGAAACCAGACAATGATTAAACTAAAAAGAAAACTATAGGCCAATATATTTGATGAACATAGACACCAAAATCCCTGACAAAATATTAGCAAACATAATACAGTGGCACATCAAAAAATATATACAACATGATCAAGTGGGATTCATCCCAGGGATGCAAGGATGGTTCAACATATGTAAATCAGTAAATGTGATATACCACGTCAACAAAATCAGGACAAAAACCGTATGATTATCTCAATAAATGCAGAAAAAGCATTTGACAAAATTCAACATCCTTCATGATAAAGACTCAGCAAATAAAGTATAGAAGGAAAGTATCTCAATATAATCAAAGCTGTATATAAAAAGCCCTTTGCCAATATCATCCTGAATGGGGAAAAGTTGAAAGTTTTTCTTTAGAATAGGAAGTACTAGCCTGAGAAATCAGGCAAGACAAAGAAATAAAGGGCATTCACATTGGAAAAGATAACGTCAAATAGTCCCTGTTTACAGATGACGTGATCCTATATAAATAATAGCCACAAATCTCTACAAAAAGCTTAGAATTGATAAACAATTTTAGTAAAGTTGCAGGATACAAAATCAACATGCAAACATTGGTAGCATTTTTATACTCCAATAATGAACTAGCAGAAAAAGAAATCAAGAAAGAAAGCCCATTTACAATAGTCATACAAAAAAATAAAATACCTGGGAATCATGTTAACCAAGGAGGTGAAAGATCCCTACAGTGAGAACTACAAATCACTATTGAAATAAATTAAAGAGTACACAAAAAATGGAAAGACATTCCTTGCTCCTGTATTAGAAGAATTTACATTGTGAAAATGTCCATACTACCCAAAGTGATCTACAGATTCAATGCAATTACCATCATAATATCAATGACATTCTTCACAGAAATAGAAAAAAACAATGCTAATGTTCATTTGGAACAAGAAAATGCCCTGAATATCCAAAGTAATCTTGAAATAAATAAGTTGGTTAATTAATAGATTGATTGGTTGATTGATTGATTAATTAATTAAATAGATAGATAGATAGATAGATAGATAGATAAAGCTGGAGCCATTAGACTGCCTGACTTCAAAATATACTACAAAGCTATAGTAATGAAAACAGCATGGTACTGGCATAAAAACAGACACTGTGACCAATGGAAAAGAATAGAGAACCCAGAAATGAGTCCATAAACCTACAGCCAACTGATATTCGACCAAGGGAAAAAGAACATACATTGCGGACACACTACCTCTTTAATTATTTGGGAAAACTGGACATCCATATGCAGAAGAATAAAACTAGACCTGTAGCTATCATCATATACCAAAATCAACTCAAAATGGATCAAAGACTTATATATAAGACTGGAAAATACAAAACTCCTAAAAGAAAATGCAGGGGAAACACTTCAGGAAGTAGTACTGGGCAAAGACTTTATGAACATGACCTCCAAAGCACAGGCAACAAAAGTAAAAATAAACAAATGGGTTATATCAAACTACAAAGCTTCTACACAGTAAAAGAAACAATGAAGAGAGCAAAAAGACAACCTACATAGCGTGATAAAACATGTGCAAACTGTGCTTCAGCAAAGGATTGATATCTAGAATATGCAAGGAACACAAACAACTTATGAGTGAAAAAACCAATTAACCCAATTAACAAATGGGCAAAGGAACTGTTTAGGAATTTCTCAAAGGGCAATATACAAATAGCCAACAGACACATGAAAAAATGTTCAACATCTCTCATCAGAGAAATGTAAATCAAAACCACATTAAGATACCATCTCATCCCAGTTAGACTGGCTATCATCAAAAAAACGGAGAACAACAAATGCTGGTTAAGATGTGAAAAGAGGAGAACCCTCCCACATTATTGGTGGGACTGTAAATTGGTGCAGCCATTATAGAAAATGGTATGGAGATTCCTTAAACAACTTCGGATAGAACTACCACACAATCCAGCAATTCCACTGGTGGTTATATACCCAAAGGAATGGAAAGCATCATGTCAAAGAAATACCTGCACCCCCATGTTTATCACAGTTCTATTTACAATAGCCAAGAGTTGGAACAAACCTAAATGCCCTTCATCAGATGACTGGATAAGGAAAATGTGGTTTATATACACAATGGAATACCACTCTTCCATATAAAAGAATGAAATATCCCCATTTGCAGCAACATGGATGAACTTAGCGAAAATCATATTAAGTGAAATAAGCCAGGCACAGAAAGATAAATACTGTACGTTCTCACTCATAAATGGGAGATAAAATAATAAACATATAAATAAAAGAAAAAAGAAATATACAACGTTCACAATAATATACTGAACTTTCAAAAGGAGAATTGAAGTTACTAGAAGTGGGAAGGAAGGGGGGAGATAGGTATTGGTAAAGGGCCACAAATAGCAATGACAGTGCATATTACTGAATATAACAATTATTCTGATTTGAGCATCATATATTGCTCACGAGTACTGATATTTAACTCTGTATCCCACAGATATGTACATTCAACTATGTTACAATTAAAATTAAAAAGTACCAAGTAAAAGGTCTAAAATGAAGTAGGCACTCAATAAGTGATTGCTGATGGCTGGCTGTAGATAGAATGCTAGATAGATAAACTAGTTTTCTGGATGAGAAAACAGGTAGAATGACTTGTCTAAAGTCATTCCAAAGGAAAACTAGAACCAAATTTGGGACTACAACCCCCAATCTCTTGACACCAACCATACATTTTTTGAATGAGAGCATATTGCCTTACAGAAACCAAAAAGAAATAACAAGGAAGAAAATCCTCAGGACAAGTATCTGGTACTACCCATTCCCTTCACCCATCTTGCTGTCTGTTAAAATAAATCCAGCATTTGAGAAAATTTCCCTAAACACTAGGCTCTAGTATCTCAGAGCTGAGCTTCTTACTATGCCTGTTTAATAGCTTCTTTTTGCCAGGCAGTTCGCCCCTTTCTGAGACCCCCCTCTAGGCAGCCAATCTTGTCTTTACCTTGACAGTATCCACTGCAGAATAATAGATCCAGGAAACACAAGCAGAGTCATTTGGACCAGGGCCAGATCTTTCTGGGATGTTCCATTGGTAAGTAAGCACCTCACCTAGGAAGGGTAACAAAAGAACTCCAGTTGGATTGGGTCATAAATTTCTCTAAACTGTCAGGTCTCCGCAAAAGCCTGTGGAGGATAAGTCCCAGCACCTTTAAGATCTTTCTCCATCATTCCTACACCGGTTTCCATTTTATTTTTGTGACTTTGCTCTTCTTCTGTCTGGGACATACTCAACCTTTCTCTTCTACTCCCCCTATGCTTAAAGGCTCAGGCCCAGTCCTCTGTTGAAGCAGCCCTCCTACTGTTCTCTCTGCTTGTAATGTCCTCCCTTTTTTGACTCTGCTTTGCTCTGTTTTTCCTGCTGCCTCCTCCTAAATGCAGCTGTTTCCACAAGGCTCTGTCTCCACTTCTCTTCTCTTCTCTTTCCATGCTCTCTCTATGGAAACTTTCAGTCTCTTTGTAACGCAAATTATGATCTGTGTATTGATAACTCTTACATACTTAGTTCCAGCCAGACCTCCATTGTTGCTAATCTCCAATCACAAATTTTCAATTAGATACTCAGCATCTTTTAAAGATTGTCCCGATAGCACTTCAAGAACTGTAATTGTGGGGCTGGCCCGGTGGCTCACTGCTACAGTGCGCCGCTTGGGAGTGCGGCAGCGCTCCTGCCGAGGGTTCAGATCCCACATACAGACCGGTTCCCGCTCACTGGCTGAGCGAGGTGCGGG